CTTGTGGACTTCAACTCCCAGAATGATATGCTGGCTGGGGAATTCTGGGAGTCCAAGTCCACAAATCTTTAAGTGGCCAACTTTGGAGAGCCCTGTCTTAGAGGACCTCAAAGCAACATCCAAACTGGTTGGATTTGTCCATAGCACACCCAGGTCACACATCTCCATTCCTACAGGACAAATAAGCCCAACCCTTATCGCATTCAGAGGGAGTATCAATCCTCTCCTTTCCATGCTGCAGTGGCAACAGAAGACATTTCTTTTCCCGGGGGGGGGGGGCTGGGGGCTGGGCCAACCCTGGGCAGCCTCCAACCCTCCTGATGAATTAATCATGATTTGTTAGCAGCAATCTGTTGGGAGAAGAACATCCAGTCCTTGGTGAGCTAATGGATCCGAGGTTCCTCTTTTTTGGGGGGGAGGGGGGCTTAAGGCTCGCAGCCAGACCCTCCTCTGCCGACTTTAAAAATTCCCCCACGCCCCCCTCAAATAAAACAAATGCATCTGCTAGTTCCTCTTCTCAAATTTGCAAGAACGCAAATGTTTGGGTTTTTTTGGTTGCTACGGCTGCCTCTCCCCCCAGGGAGAACTGGGACCAGTGGAAAAAAAGAGAGCATTCCCAGCGGATAGCAAGGCTGTTTTTTTTAGACAATTGGCCCAGCTCCTGCGCTGTGGCAGGCGTTGAGACCCTGGGGGAGCCTCCTTCTTTCCTTCCTCTTCTTCCTCCTCCTCCTCCTCTTTCTGGATATTCCCACTCGCCTTCATGCTTCTTGCTCCAGACTTCAAACTCCGCCGCTGCAGCCCAGTGCGCGCTCCTCTCCAGCGCTCCGGGGTCCATGCGCCCCTTCCCCTTCATCTCCCTCGGTCCTCCTGCCGCCCTACCCTGCCCTAATCCAGCCGGGACCCCCCCCCAAGCCCCTGCCCCCAATAGCCGAGCCATGGGCTCTTCCCACTCGATGTCCGAGGAGAACCGCGCACTCGCCCACAAGACCGGCTGTGAGTACAGGAGGGGTTTTCTCTCCCACCCCCCACCCCCGAGTTTCCCCTTCGTGGGTTTGACTTTCCACGTCCTCGGGGCGGGGGTGCCTCTCTCACCCTCTGCCCCCCCCCGGCTGGGCTCCCACAGCATCCCCAAGAGCAGCCGGGGTGGGGCTGGGAGGGTCGCGGAGTGGGGCGCGCGTCTGGAGCAACTTTACGCACTCTCGGGTCTTGCAAACCCCAGGCTTTCGAAATGAATTTCTGCTGCTTATTTTGGGGAAGTTTGTTTCGGGGAGCTTCCTGCCCACAAAAGCCCTCGAGTTGCGGCCTTTTTCCAAGCTGCTGTTTTGCCATGGGACTTTGCACTTGGGGAGGGGGGGAAACTCAGCTGGGGATGGTGAGGGGGGCGTCCCCAGGAGCTTGCGAGAAGCATGCCCCGGGCAAAAGAGAGATTGAGGTGGGGAAGGATTTCCAGGCAATCCTAGAGTTTGCAGAAGGACCTTCAGCCGGAATGAAAATAAAAGTCCTTAGGAAAAAAAGGACAGAGCAAGCGAAGAAGGAAGGGGAATATTTAAAACAGGGCAGCGGCCAGCTCATAAACTTGAGGATTGTGGCATAGGAGAGGGGAGAAGGGAAAACCTTAGGGAGAAGGGTGCAAGGGGGTTGCTGGCTGGCACCACGCACAAGAATAGTCTACCTTGCCCCATTTTGCAGCAGCAGCCAATCAGGATGGAAACCAGGCTGGGGAATTAGGTCTGTCCTGCAGTCCTGGATTTATTGTAAGAAACAAGCAGCTGAAGAGGGAGCAGTTGCGCAGCGGGAGGTTGAAGAGGGTCAGGAATATATTTAATTTGCTGCCTCCTTCATAAGAAAAATTGGTCAGCATCCTCTGGCAGACAGACTGGCTAGAGAAGGAAGGATTGACGTCCATGCTAATGGATCCGATGCTTTTATTTTAAAAGGCAGCTCGCGTTTCTATTGCATTTTCCACCCAGGGTGGCTGATACATTAATGAAATAGCAGTGGCTGCGCCCTAGACGAATGCTTTAGTTTCTGTACCTTATTTTTACTTGTCAGATTTATGTAGCCGCTCCTCTCCCGATCAAAGTGACTTTGCCCTCCCCCTGCACAACAAAACTAAAAAGACAGTGGTTCAGTTTCTCCAGAGTTGGCTCTTAGTCTTGAGGCACTTTGGAAATGCTTCTGGGTTTCTTTGGGGGGGAATTTTGGAGCAGGTTTATTATGCCAGGAGGCACAATTGGCCCACAGTCACCCAGCTGGCTTTCATGCCTAAGGCAGGACTAGAACTCACCGTCTCCTGGTGATTGGTCCAAAGTCACCTAGCTGGCTTTCATAGCTAAGGTGGAACTAGAATTCACCATCTCCTGGTCATTGGCCCATAGTCACCCAGCTGGCTTTCATGCCTAAGGCGGAACTAGAATTCACCATCTCCTGATGATTGGACCCAAAATCACCCAGCTGGCTTTCAGGCCTAAGGTGGGACTAGAACTCACCATCTCCTGGTCATTGGCCCATAGTCACCCAGCTGGCTTTCATGAGTAAGGTGGGACTAGAACTCACTGTCTCCTGGTGATTGGACCCAAAGTCACCCAGTTGGCTTGCATAACTAAGGCGGAACTAGAACTCACCATCTCCTGGTCATTGGGCCAAAGTCACCCAGCTGGCTTTCATGGCTACGGCAGGACTCGAACGCATGATCTCCCACTTTTTAGCCAGGTGCTTTAGCCACTTTATGCCCCAATAGAGAAACTGAGCAAGGCTGATGAGATGAAATTCAGATGTTCTAGCAGACAGACAAAGCCACTCTTCTCCACATCGCAACTCTAGCGAGACAAGCCATCTTCTAAAGATGGTTACTGCTCTCCAAGCTCTCTTCCTGCTTCTGTTTTTCTGGGCAGAGATGGGATTTTGGATTAGATTAAAACAAAAACAACAACCAAAAAAAGGATAGTTCCAGGGGATAAAGCAATTCCGCACAACATTCCGGGCTGCCATAACCTCTTCAGTCCAAATGCCCAATCTACCCTTTTTTTCCAAGCGGACTCAGCGCCCTTTGGCTGAGCTCACAAGAGGCTGATGGGCACTGGAGTCCAACAGGAGCTGGAGAGTCACAGCCTCCCCTAAACTGGAAGAGGGAGAGGTATAAGCATGGAATAATTTATGCCCCCTGTTACAGAACTGTTTGTCATCTAAGAGCAGCCAAAAACTTTTATTGCCTGCAATTGGGCATGGCTTCTAAGATTGCATTGTTGAAATGCGGGCTAATTAAAAGATGGAATAAAGTGGAATTGGCGAAAGGAACTGAACAAAATTCCAGGGTGAGATGAGAAATGGGGAAACGAGGCAGGTCGTTTTGGTCCAATTTGTCTAACTTTAACCAGTGGGTAGAAAGACAGGATATAAATCTAGTCATAACCAAAGAAACATGTTGTGTTTATGGAGCACTTTCTGATTGCTGTGCTCAAAGAGGTTTGCAATATGTTTACACTATCTAGAATTATTATGCGTCTCCCCCTCTTCTTCCCTCCCTCTGTGTGTGTGTGTGTGTTTGTGTGTGTTATGGAAGCCAACAGTAAAAAGAATCCTAACTATAACGGAAAGACAACTGTGCAAAAATTTAAAAAAAATATTTGGTGTTTTGCAAACATCCCAAAAAGCAAGTTCCAATTCAGCACTGAAGAGATACATACACACACACACACACACACACACACACATATATAAAACACATGCAATATATGTTATATATAGATGTGTGTGTATGTGTGTTTGCGTGTGTGTGTGTGTGTGTCATAACATATATCGTAAAATAATAAAACAAACTCCTATGCCCAAAAATATTGTCCACCAAAAAGAAAAATAAAGCAGAGAAATCAGTAAAATTTCATATCCTACTGTTAAAAAAGTGGTGGCATCAAAGTTCCATTTGCTTTTATGGATAATGTGTGTGCTGCTATCGTGAGGGGGGTTTTTTTTGTTTGTTTTTTGGGAAAAAACACTTTATTAAGTTTCCAAATAAAAATGCAAATACAAAAATTAGGAAATTTAAAAAAACCAAGAAAACGTAAAAGTAGGGGGGAATGAAAAATAGAAATAATAAAAAAAAATAAAGACTTCAAACTTCCCTAAGTACAAATACACATACTTAACCAGATAATGTCTTACTCTGAATTAAACATAACATGAAACATGAAAAGCCGGCTTTGTTTTATGGTTATTCACATGCTTTTATTTTGTTCAGGGATATCTGCACAATATGCTCTAGAATAATCAAATTAAACATTACACGACTTGACTATTCTTGAGCATATCTTACAGATACCCCTGAGCAAGACAAAAGCATGTGAATAATCATAAAACCAAGGCTTTTTTTTTCCAACAAAGCACTTTTTTACAGCTATCTCTAGCATCTGCAGTTAAAACTGAAGAGCAAATAAGTCCCCAGTGCAAATATAAATAAAAGCTACTTGGATTAAAATTGGTCTTCAATGAATAAAGGCCTTTCATACATGTCGAAAGAGGAAATGTTTAAGGAAAAAGATCTTTTTCTCCCTTCTACAATAAACAAACTGGATGTTCAGGCAGGTTTGTGCAGATAATTTAGTCTGCAATTACTCTAGAGCTGAGCTGTTATTTGATGAATAACAGGAACTTCATAAAGATTCTTGGCGGTTTTGTGTAAGTGAAATAGACATCATGTCAATATTTAGGATTACGAGGCGTCATTCAAAAGTCTGGGGCTTTAGATAATTTGTGTTTTCAAACAGTTACCAGCCAGTAACAAATGTAGTTGCAATGTACCTTTATCGCAGATCAGAGTTATTTGCGTTTCCTAAACCCATAAATCATAAGTACTATTAATGCATGTTACTAATAATTTGCTGCTTATTTATAAACCTGCCTTTTCTCTTGACACCTGTCTATTTATGCTATTCATTTTACGAACAGCCTGACCTGGATAAAACAGAGTGAAAATCCATATGTTATTTTTAAAATGTCATTTGAAACGTCACCCTGTCCCAGAAGCCGATTATAAATCGATAACATCATTGTAAATAAAGAATAAAACCTAACCCCAAAACCCACAAAAGACAGAAGACATTTGATATAGTGGCTCAACCTTCTACTAAATATTCAGATTTGAAGTTCCCTGGAGCTGCTAAACTTTTAGAGTTTATTTTGTACTAACTGTCCTCTTGAGCATGGCCTATCTTCACAAAGTAGCGATAGGATATAATTTTTAATAGGACAAGTTATAGTGAAAGATTGAAAAAGAATCATTTACCTATTAATAGTACAGATGGTAACTCAGCAGACTAAAAGGAAAGACTCACAAATGATTGTTTTTGTGGCTCAGATGTCCTGTCCTACAGCTTTGGATAGAAAAAAAATCTCCTTTTATAAATGAATTATCCTATTTTGCGGGAAAAGGTGACCCATTTCTAACTGGGTTATTCTCAAATTCCAAGTTGGCTGCTAATGGAAGAATTTTCTTTCAAAGGTGGGGCTCCTTGTATCCTAATTGCAACCTCTCCCCCCCCCCATTATCCTCAGGAAAGGAGGAAGGAAACTCACTTCCTACTCTTGATTACAGGAAGAATCTTCAGCGCTCTGATTTTTTTTAAAAAAAAAATCCTAATTTTTTTCCCCTGCAATTTTTGTTTTTGTTCAGTTGGAGGAAAGGGGTAGGTAGGGATGATTGTAGCAGAGTGCTTCCCAAAGTATATCCTTCATTAGCCAAAGCTGCTTACAGAATGAAGGATAATAGGATTGGAAGGGACCTTAGAGGTCTTCTAGTCCAGTCCCCCCTGCTCAAGCAGGAGAACCTATAACCTTCTGGACAAATGATTGTCCAGTTTCTTCTTAAAAGCCTCCAATGATGGAGCACTGTTTGCCTCTGTATATAAACAAGAGAACAAACCCCACTCCCTTCTAGCACTGATGATGTTACCTAGTTGGGTCCTGAAACGTCTGCGAGAAAAGAAGCAAGCTCAGAGAGCACCCAGGACCCCACAGTCCTCCTTCCTTCCTTCCTTCCTTCCTTCCTTCCTTCCTTCCTTCCTTCCTTCCTTCCTTCCTTCCTTCCTTCCTTCCTGCACTGATGATGTTACCTAGTTGGTTAATGAAATGTCTGCAAGGAAACAACGGAGCTCAAGAAGCCCCAAGGAGCCCTCATTTCTGAGCTACAAATATTCCCTTCCATGGGTAACAGAAGACTTAGCTTTGCAAGGAGAGGAATTTTGCCTTCTGATGACACATCTGGCGTTACGTGCTCCAGGCTGTTAGGTTTATAGATGCCCTTCGGCGATGGGGGCTGAACGGCCAGACTTCTGCAACTGCTCCAGGTCCCTCCCTTTCCAATTCTCTGCCTTCCCCAAGAGACAAGATCTCCCCCGCTGCATTTACGAACACAAATATTTGCATTTTAGGAGTTAATAAAGTGCCTTTTTGGCTGGAGCTGGACTTTATAGGCTTTCAGAGTTTGGAGGCTGTGCTGTCCAGCCTTTCTATCCGATTAAGAGGATGGGGAGGCGGAGGGAGTTCTCTCAAGGAGGATTTGTTGCCCGAATGTAACAGCTGAAGAAGAAAAAGCAATAAGCTACAAGAGCTGTTCATTTATTGCACCTTGGAAAGACCAATTTTGCATCAAGGAGCAAACTTCAAAGGCATAAAAGTTTTATCGGTAAATAAGACCCTTCTAAAAGGATGGTGGAACTTGTCTGCCTACTTTGGAAGTTCACTTAAAAGCAGAGACAAAGAAAGAAGTAAGGAAGGAAAAAAGAAAGGATAAAAAGAAATAGAAGTAGTTTCCAATTTCCTTTGCAGCAAATACAAGCATGGTTACCAAATTGCCTCTTGTTTTTTTCCCCCTATTATCTAACATTTTCTAATCCTCAAAACCACAGATCACAAGTGCATTTTTTTTCCTGTTTCATGCAAAACGTCTGTCAGGAGTTTCCGGCCAGCCATAAATGCAGATATTGTCTTTTTTTTTCTAATCAAGGAAGTCAGTTAGGCCATCCCTGCAAGTCCCATCATCTTTACCAACCCTTCCTCCACTGCAGAAAAAGTCACACTTTTCCACTTTTGTGCATATATAAATACCTGGGGGAAGAAAGAGTTTGAAAACCATCTCATCCGTTTTTATTTTCTTTTTAATCTGAATTTTACGTATTGCCTCGAGTGCGTAATGAATAGAGGAGACATTATATATAGGAATGAGTATTTTGGTCTTAAAGTGTACACTGCAAGAATATGGAAATTGGGCCAAGAACATTTAAAAGGCCAGTATTTATAAAAGCAAATTCTTGGAAAGGCCAGAATTAGAGACATCACCTTAAAAGAAATCCAAGAACATGGCTAAGTATTAACAAACACATTTCGCTGGCTGGACGTTCTCCCTTCAGCTGCAGTTTGTTGAGTAGAAATTTTTAAAGTCCCTGATGTGTTTCTCCCAGAACTGCTTCTAAAATTCCCAACCAAAGGTTTGTTTGTCTTTTTCTCGGTAGTCACGATGGATCAAATTGAGCACCTGCATCGGCGATTTAAGCAGCTGAGCGGAGACCAACCAACGATCCGGTAAGTGCCTCAGCCTTCTTTTAAACAGTGGTTAGCATTAGCCTTCTCTAACCCTATGCAGGATGCAGAATAACAAGAGTTGAAAGGGACCTTAGAGGTCTTCTAGTCGAACCCCTTGCTCAAGCAGGAGACCCTATACTATTCTGGCTGTTTAGTCTTTTCTTAAAAACTTCCAGTGTTGGAGCATTCACCGCTTCTGGAGCCAGGTTGTTCCACTGGTTAATTGTTTTCACTATCAGGAAATGTCTCCTTTGTTCCAGGTTGCTTCTCTCCTTGATTATTTTCTATCCATTGCTTCTTATCCTGCCTTCAGGGGCTTTGGAGAATAGCTTGACTCCCTCTTCTTTGGGGCAGCCCCTCAGATATTGGAATACTGCTATCATGTCCCCCCTAGTCCTTCTTTTCATTAAAGTAGACATACCCAATTCCTGCAACCCTTCTTCATATGTTTTAGCCTCCAGTCCCCTGATCATCTTTGTTGCTCTTCTCTGCACTCTTTCTAGAGTCTCAACGTCTTTTTTGCAATGTGGGGACCAAAACTGGATGCAGGATTCCAGGTGTGGCCTTACTAAGGCCTTGTAAAGTGGTATTAACACTTCACATGATCTTGATTCTATCCCTCTGTTTATACAACCAAGGATTGTATTAGGGTTTTTTTGCTGCTGGCTCCCAATTTCTGGTTCTCTTCAAATATCTTGGGCTGCAACTTGGGGGCTAAAACATTTAAATGTCCCAAATTTGGGTCTTTAGCCCCCTCGGACAGGCTTGGGAAAAATCAGGAGAAGTCTAATAACCCTTTTCAAACTCCACCTTTTGTCAAAGAGCAGTTGTTGTCCGATGCAACGAGCTGGCTAAACCGATATGTTGGATTTAAACCGGGGCATTCCGGTTAGAAACTGGTGTAATTCTAGTTTGGGTGGAGCATCTATAAGAGAGCTGAAGAAGCTTCTTCAGATTGATGATAGATGTGATCAGTAGATGATAGACAGATAGACAGATGATAGAAGTAGATTAATAATAGATAGATAGATAGATAGATAGATAGATGGATGGATGGATGGATGGATGGATGGATGGATGGATGGATAGATAGATAGATAGATAGATAGATAGATAGATAGATAGATAGATAGATAGATAGATAGATAGATAGATAGATAGATAGATAGATATCTTCAAAGAAAAAGAAAGTCCAGTTGCCTCTTGAAAAAAAAATGCACCTGTGGGACAACCAGGATTTGGATGACGGAGAATCTCCATAGACTAGATGACCTCCAAGGTCCCTTCCAACTTTATTATTACTTTTATAAGAGAGTTTCAGCTGTTCTGAATGTAAGTAGTCCCTACTTACAATTGTTCATTTGTTGACTCTTCGAAGTTACAGTCACACTGAAAAAAAGCAACAGATGATCCTTTTTCACACTTACGACCGTTGCCACATCCCCAGGGTCACGTGATCAAAATTCGGATGCTTGGCAATTGACTCATACTTATGACGGTGGCGGTCTCCTGGGGTCACGTGATCCCCTTTTGCGAGGATCTTCTGACGAGCAAAGTCAGTGGGGAAGCCACATTCACTTAACAACCGGGTTACTAATAGCATCAACTGCAGTGATTTATTTAATAACTCTGGCGAGAAAAGTCATAAAGTGGGGCAAAACCCTTTGACCAATTGTCTCGCTTAGCAACAGAGCTTTTAGCCTCAGTTGTAGATGTAAGCCGAGGACTACCTGTCTTATTTCTGTCTAATTTATCATTTCGACATCGGAGGCAGCCTGGCTTGCCAACAGTTCTGGGCAGATTCCAAAGGATTATAAAAAATTAATAACAGCCGAGTACAAACAGTGAGTACCGAAGAATCGTGCTGAGACTCTTTGGGGGGGAGGAGAGACAGGCTAAAACAATGATTGGCGCCTCTAACAACACGTTCACACATTGTCCTGGGTGGGTCCTGTGGGGAGAGGCAACTTGTGAAGGCTCTCCTAAAAGAGCTTCTGGTTAGGTCCAGACAGAGCAGCCTTGGGTGTGCGTGGGTGCGATGCTGTTTGAAAGACGCAGAGGTATCTTTCTTAACGATTGCTAGGCACCCTGCCTGTTGGTGTGTGGGCATAGGCACACAAACACACTCACTATGTGCCTCTGATAGTTTGCAAAGGGAAGCACCAGCTTCAAATATAGCTTTTGTTGCAAAGGGCCCATCTGGACCGCAGCTAGACTCTGTTCTTCCTGAAAAATTACAAAAAAATGAATACATACGGCCCGTTTGGTTTTTGGAAAGATGAACTACCTCCCTAGATTAAAAGAAAACACAAAAAGCAGATGTTGCAGGAGAGCACATTTTGGAAGCCTCGTTTAATTTCTAGGAAATGGGTGACTGGTAACTAGGTCTAAAAACTAAAAAGGAAACTAAAAGACTAAAACAGCGTCTCGCCAGCAATCAACACCCAAATAAGCAGAGATTAACGCCGGGATTAATGCCAGACCAACAATCACACGGTAAACAATACCCCAAACAAGGAAGCACCTAGAACATTCACACCAACACTGTCAGAAAAATCCACTTGTATATAAACAGAGAGCAAACCCCACTCCCTTCTAACACTAACACTGATGAAATTCCCTAGTTGGGTAATGAAACGTCTGCAAGAAAACAAGCAAGCTCAGAGAGCACCAAGGACCTCACAGTCGTTGTCCTCCTCCTCCTCCTCCTCCTCCTCCTCCTCCTCCTTTCCACAAACGCCACTCGCTTCTAGCACTACTGACATTACCTAGTTAGGTAATGAAAGGTCTGCAAGAAAACAAGCAAGCTCAGAGAGCACCAAGGACCCCCCAATCCTCCTCCTCCTCCTCCTCCCTAGTTATTCTTTATGAAACAAACCCCACTCCACTGATGATGTTACCTAGTTGGGCAATGAAACGTCTGCAAGAAAACAAGCAAGCTCAGAGAGCGCCAAGGACCCCACAGTTCAACCCGGAGGTGCAAAGATTCTCTGCTGTTGCTAACGAGCTCTAACTATTTTGGTAGCCCTGTTTGATGTCAGCAAAGATTGTCAAGCCTCAAATCTGTGCATTTATTTCTGGTATGTTGGATTGCCTCTCTTTTTGTCTTTTCTCCAGATGTACATATTTTGGGTATATATGTACACATACACATACACATACACATACACATACACATACACATACACATACACATACACACATATATATATATATAAGTGCCGTTTAGTCCTGGCACCCAGAGACAGCCTGTCCCACTGTTCTAAACAGCCTTTCAACCACCCTCTGAACAGAGACACCTCGGGATTGATCATGATCCAGGCGCTGTTTCTCTGTTTCTAGCAGCTGCTTGTCAGGCCCGATAATGACTCGGTAATAAATAGGCAGCTCCGGTCCCTGTTTTCTGTCTAATGAGATTTTGCTTTCCCAGGCAGCGTGTTCTTTGCAGGAAAGTGGCTCTAATATAAACTCCAGATCCTACGCAGGAAACGGATCTCAAGCGGTGCCAAAATGGGTGAGACGCTTTTGAAAAGGGCCCTCAGAGTTTGCTTTTCATCCTGACCTGGTTGCAGAGGCAATCCTTCTCAGAAATGGAAGATACCCTGGCCCTTTTGTGCAGGCAAAATAATCCCTAAGGAAGGGTGTTGGTTCTAGATGGGTGGAAGATATTAAAGAGAGAAGCAATCTAGAACTAGGGAGAAACTTCCTGACAGTGAGAACAATTAATCAGTGGAACAACCTGCCTCCAGAAGTTGCGGATGCTCCAACACTGGAGGTTTTTAAGAAGAGACTGGACAGCTATTTGTCTGGAATGGTGTAGGGTCTCCTGCCTGAGCAGGGGGTTGGACTAGAAGACCTCCAAGGTCCCTTCCATCTCTTTTATTCCATGTTCTATGTTCTGAGGAATTTGGTATGAGCTGCAGATGCAGAAAAACGTCGGATTTCACGGCAACTGAGCTTTGAAAATCCAGGGGTGAGATAACCGTTAGAGAAATGGTCAGTGCATCATCTAATCAGTTACGGTATCTAATGAAATGGGCAGAATATTGAATTAAGAAGCGTGCGAAGCTTCTGCCGATTCAGATTGTTGAACCGAGCGGCTGGGTGTCTTTTTTCTCCTCTCTGTCACTTGACGTCTCTCAGACCCCACCGAGAACATCCACCTTCCTTGCCCCCGGGAGAAATACAGCAGTGATGTTAGAAAAAGGGCTTTCCCCAGCAGAAGGATGGCGTGTCCAATGGACTGATGAGATGAGAGTAGATTACAAAATGTCAGAGAAGCGTGTTTCACCCAATACCAATATATACAGAGTTTCAGTTCCATTTAGGTAGTAGAAAGAGGAGAGAGAGAGAGAGAGAGAGANGATGGATGGATGGATGGATGGATGGATGGATGGATGGATGGATGGATGGATGGATGGATGGATGGATGGATGGATGGATGGATGGATAGATAGATAGATAGATAGATAGATAGATAGATAGATAGATAGATAGATAGATAGATAGATGATAGATGATAGATAGATAGATAGATAATAGACAGACAGACAGACATCTCTCTCTCTCTTTCTCTCTCTCTCTCCTGTGTCATTCATCTCTTTCTCTCTCTCTTTCTCTCTCTCTCTCTCTCTTCCTCTCTCTAGTGTCATTCATCTCTCTCTTCCTCTCTTTCTCCTGTGTCATTCATCTCTCTTTCTCTCTCTCCCTCTCTCCTGTCATTCATCTCTCTCTCTCTCTCCTGTGTCATTCATCCCTCTCTCTCTTTCTCTCTCTCTCTCTCCTGTGTCATTCATCTCTTTCTCTCTTTTCTTTCTCTCTCTCTCTTTCTCTCTCTCCCTCTCTCCTGTGTCATTCATCTCTCTGTCTCTGTCTGTGTCTGTCTGTCTGTCTGTCTGTCTGTCTGTCTCTCTCTCTCTCTCTGTCTCTCTCTCTCTCTCTCTCTCTCTCTCTCTTCCTCTCTCCTGTCTCATTCATCTCTCTCTCTCTTTCTCCTGGAAGACATATCTGCACATTTAAAACTTGTTATGCATGCACGCATACTCGCATGTGTTTGTGTGCATGTATTTGTGTAGGCATGCATAATAAGTTTAAAATGTGCAGCTCTATCTTGCGAACATTCACTTTTGCATTCGGCTTCAAAAAATAGAGGACCCTTCGGGAAAACCGCCCCCCCTCCCAACTTGGCTATTTCTCCCTGATCTTTCCTGGTGTTCCTTCCTTCCTCTGCCGGCTTCATTAGGGCAGCCTCCGCTGTGCAAAACCCCAGGGTTGACCTTTGCACAGGACATGCGACATGCAGGTTCCCACCACACTCACTGGGGTGGGGGGGCTGCTGCTGGTGGGAGAGACAGGGGGGGCTTCTGGCAGGGAAATAGCTGCAGATGGAATTTGCCGGGATGGGAAGGCAGTTAGAGACGCCCAAATTTCATTTCTCCAGAATTTCCAGCCACAAAGTTTTGCCAAGGAGGAAAAAAACAAAAGCTGGGGGGGGGGGGGGGATAAAAAAAACCAAAGAAAGAATCTCATTCTGTGGATATTGGCAAGGCGTTCTGTTAGCAGCGAAGCTAAGCGTAAGATTTCACCCGCCACCCAGCAACCCAAACACACAAACACACACCCAATCATCTGACACTTTGTCCCTCCGATGCCAAAACAAAGCAGAAAGAATTTGGGGCAGGGTGCAAAATTGACCCCCTCCCCCTCCAATAATTTATAGTAAGGTGGGGCTGAGGATAAATAGCCATCAGGGGAAAATCAATCCCCACCACAAAGTTACCAAAAAAAAAAAAATGTTGCCTAGAATGAGAATGTAGTGGCTGGTTGAGCCAACATACCTAATTCTAAATCCAGATTAAAAGACACACTTGCTAGGTTCACCTATGACGTGGCTAAAACTTAAAGTGGACTAGAAAGCAAAAGCGGCTGGAATTATGGGTGGGTTTACTAGCCTGAGTTGTAAAATACCTGACCTGGTTTGATCCTAGTTTAACACTGTACAGGTAGTCCTCAACTTATAACAGTTCATTTAGTGAATTCTGGGAGTTGAAGTCCGCCCATCTTCAAGCTGCCTCAGCCATCAATAACCAGTCTCTCTCTCTCTCTCTCTCTCTCTCTCTCTCTCTCTCTCTCTCTCTCTCTCTCT